ACTTCTGATGGGACTCGGGGATCTGAACGGCACCCCCGCGGAAATCATTTTCATAGAATTTAACACACTCGGATCCTATCAGGCCTCAGGCCTCATGAATGAGTTGAAATTGAAATTGAACGACGACTGAAAGCAACTCTCAAGTCCTGTGCATGAGGTTCCATGCAAAGACCCGGGCAAAGGAAAGTACATACATATAAACCGTCACAACCGTATACGGATCCTGACAGCTTTCAAAGTAGGCAATCAAGGACTGGCTCATTGATAATAATATAGAGGCCGAATCTGTCCCGAAAATAATCTGATGTGCCCGCATCTCACATTGGGCTCTCATCAGCTCTCATCAGGCATATGTTGGCCCGGGTTTTCCCCGAGCTAACGACAAGCTCTAATGGAATAGAGAGTGGCCAGCATACCATCCTCATGCAACCTGGAGTGGTTGATATGCTTAACTCCCTTAGAAATTTGTCGAACTTAACTTTATAACAAATTATTTACCTCAGATGCCATGAGTACGGCCATATAGCCATCCGAGACTTCACATATCTGCTGTCCCATGACTACTTACCTCAGAATCAGAATTCAAGTTGTTCGAATTCTTATCATTGGCCATAAGCTCAGTATTTACAACAGATGATCCCCCACCAGGCTCAATGCGATGCACACTTAGTGTTGACCGAGCAAACCTTGAGCCATATAACCATACCACTGCTGCACTGAAGAATCATGTTTGGAGGTACCAGGTATGCCCGGAGGGCCATTTGAATACCAGGTCTCAGATCATCAAATCGAAACGGCTGCACGTGACGTAAAACCTACCCCTAGAGCTCAGGTTAGGGTCCCGACGTGAGGTTAGGTGTTAGATCCTGGGGTTAGGGCCTCCTGCTCGTGACTTGCATCTAAGGCCCGGCTCCGAATCCTGACTACTTACTTTTCGAAGTTTTCGCGCTCCTGCGCTGTGTTTCGTTGCCGAGTTACCATTGAAGAAGAAGAGGAGCCCCGCAATGCGTCGCCTCCGCTGACTGATACGGGTATCATTATCTATATGGACCTCCGAGTCGTTCCAAGTGCCCTCCCCTACTCCCCGCCGAGCCTTCAAGGCCGCCCGGAGCGCTATACTGAAGAGGAGGAGTGTGAAGTGACATTATCCCCCGGAGCCATTCATTTGAGAGCTTTCACGTCAAATGCTAATGTGAGCTGCGGATCTCAGCCACGGAGTGGCTGAGAAGGAAGAAACTGACCCATCTTTCTTCAGCAGGAAGACAAGGAAGAGTACGATCCGGGCTCCCCGAGCGGTGCAGGCTCCACCACAGGTGCGTTTTACCTTCAATGATTGTCAGACTCTAATCAGCACTGCAGCTCACTCTTCGGAGCGACAAGAAGAGGAGTGCGGCCCTACCCTCAATCCCCATCTCGGTACGTGTCGAACTTTCCGTCCTTGATTTCACCTAATTCGTGCATAGTGTCCTTCACGAGAATTCGGATTCCGTTCCGCACCCTGTAAGCTTACGTGTCAAAGGCTCCAGGCCTCGATTTCAACTAATGCGCCGGGTCCTAGTGTCCATACTACTGCCGGCGCCCTATGTATATAGTCCAACGGATATTTTTCCAAATGCTGTTAAGTTGCGCACTCCGCATTCCTTTTCTTTAAATTTTAGCAGGAAGGTCAGTGCATGGATAGTGTAACCGTCTATGAGCTCAGCAGCGCAACCTGTAGGAGCACTGAGCATCATCTTTTCAGAAACTGCACATGTCCTGAAATTTCTACTATGGCCTGGACAATGAAACTTTTACCCAATCCGCCAACCCCTGCTATGTAAAGTAAGAATTGCTCTTCCAACCCAAACATAAAATGCTCCGCGACGGTCCTGAGTGCACATAACTGTTCCTCGTTGTTATCAAATCTCCTCTCTAATGATGTCTTCCAGATACTCTTCTGGTGTTTTGATGTCAAGTTCTTCCCCGTCGCTGGTGTGAATGTGGCACACTGAAACACATCTTCCCATGTCTGGTCAGCAGGCTGAGATCGTCAAGATTCCGCCACGGTTTGAAGAGTATCAGCATAGACCTGCACCACTTGATGTGTTCCGCCTTGCCACGATCTGGTCTTGGAATTTTATCCCTGAGGAGAACATTATGAGGAAAGGCACTTTGAGTTTTTTGACCCTTGGGCTTGCGAATTGGCTGACCCATTTTACTCGCTCTGAATTGCTCTGCAACAGCGGCGAGGTCAGCTTTGTCTATCCATTCCCCTTTGCTGGCTGACACCTTTTCAACAAGCTCTTCATGTTCCCACAAGACAAGCTTTCAAACGGCTCTTCGCGGGATCTTAGCGGATGATCCGGAGCATTATGTCACGAAATTTTCGGTGAGAAGTACGGTCACTTCTGCATCTTGAACAGCCGCTTCCTCATCATCATCATCCAGTTCTTCCAATCCGACACCACCTTCCGGAAAACGGCTCTTCGGGTCGAAGTTAGGAACATCATCTCGTTGGGTGTACGCGTCAAAGTTGTCGACCAGCTTCGCTTGCTCGTTTTCCAAGGCATGGACATACCGATCAATTTGGCCCCATTTAACTATTTTAAAGGAGTAGCTGCAGTAGTAGTGACCGCTCTCGATGAGGTAGCTCATTACTTGTCGGTGAGATATTTCTTGCCTCGACATCAGCGCCATCATACCATCACAGTTTTTGTAAACAAACTTTTATTATTTTCCTCGTCTGTTGCCCCCACACCACCGGATCCCATGGATTTCTCATCGTTCCACTTGAGGGCATACACGACTGCGGATAGACCTACGTCTGTGGACAGCATACCTTTAGTAATGTAGTCTGTTATAATAAACTAACGCCGGCGTCTTGGTAGCCTCGCCGGAGCTCGATGTTGCGATGTAGCAAGAATATTATCAACTTGTTGATCCGGGGATGTAACAGGATAATAGATTCGGTTTCAGGGTCAAGGCGGGTGAACGGATTAGTATAGCCGTTGATCCTCATTCGACATGAATCATCGTTTCGAGGTTCCCCATTTTTAAAATGCTTCCAGCAGGATTGTACCGCAATATAATTTGTAGGGAGTTTTTTTATCACCTCGTCGAAAAATTTGCTGCGCGTCCAGGATTTCGTGCCACGAGTCGATGCCGAAACTCTGTCATGGCGGCCCAGAATTCAGGACGAATGCCCCCGATTGCACGGAGGAGCATGATACCTTCCACTTTTAGAACCTGCGACCATGCACAGACGCGCGTGCCATGCAAAAGATGTCCTTCAAGGTGTCACCTACCTATGCACCTGGCACTATATGCTTGTGCTAGCTCGAATATTTCTCTCGGTTCTCGCCATAAGGTGTATTCAACCATGTTTTCAAGTCCGTTATGTAACTTAGGAGGTACCAGGGTTGCCCGGAGGGCCTTAGGAATTATCAAGTTTGTATCAAATTCGACTTTACTTCAGTGACCTCCCTAAGGCCTTAAATGAAGACCCTCCGGTGAGTTAAGGCCTTAGGTTCATTTAAGGCCTTAGCCCAGGCCTTAGGACCAAAAAAGGAAATAATGTTAGCGGGCTGTAACTGAGAAATATACGCAAAATCCATGCTACCCACACTTCATCACCATCAATTTCAATCTCTCCAGCATCGCCGAGCGTATCGTCCTCCTCATCCAGCCGGAATCACACGCATGTACACTTCCTCTTCTTGCAAGTCCTGTGCGCGGCACACCTATTCCAAGCAGCCCCTGCCAGTCATCGGCTGCCATTTGCGCGGTCGGCACACCTGAACCCGATCACGGCTTTGTGAAGAAAAGATTGCCGAGCATGGGCACCTTCACGTGACTGTCTAAGGCCTTAACTCAAAAATACAAAATCTCCGCGCTGGTCTAAGGCAACCTAAGGCCTTAGCTAAGGCAAGAAGGTAAGGCCTTAGGCCTTAGGGAGATCACTGCTTTACTTCCAAGACGGACTCTACAACATACCTATCCACATCGCTGTATTGTAACCCTCCATTTCCTCTGGCTCCTCAGGCTTCTGTGATGTACTGTTGCTCCTCAAGGCTTCTATCTGATCCAGCGGGAATACTGTGCCATTTCGACCGTAGGTTCACGCCCTGTCACCTGTCACCTAAGGTAGGCGCCAGGCACTCACAACGAGCGGTCACGTGGTATGTAATGCGTGACACGTGACGTCAAAAATATCGTGACCTTGAACAATATAGGCCCCAAATCGCAAGAAAATTCGGAGTTTTTTTGCACATGTACCATGAAGTATTAAATTTGAACCAACCGTCTAAGGAGGGTGGAATAGGTAAGGATTGCACTTGGTCAACTTGCTGCGAGACTGCCGACTCGTTCGGCTTGGTGTTTCGTACATAGATTACTGTATATGGTCCGTGGGAACCTTGCATAAGCGGCAAATATTTTCGCCTCATAAACTCAAACCATGCCCATTCGATGAAATAACTGTTTCTGCATTCAAAGAAAATGGGTTATAAAAATGTTATACTGCTCCACATACAGGCTATATTTTACAAATCTGAAACCAGAGATGTCTCAGGAGGACCTAAATGCTTCATTTCCAGGTTTTACTTTTTGTCCAAATGTTTTGTGGCCAGAGCCTTATCGATGTCACACTTTGATCACGTGAGCGCTCGTTGTGAGTGACTGGTGCCTACCTTACAGTCCTAGAAATGGTTGGAGAGCACCAGCGGTGTATGGTACATACAATCAACTTCAAGTTCATACAGTGTTCTTCCATCATGCATTGTGATTGATTCTGGGGTTCGATTCCCCCTGGTGCACATAGTTTCTTCGTTTCTTCATTTTTAAATCCTGAAAGCGGTGCAGAACAGAGGCCGCAGCCATATTCGACCTCAAGATTCACACCGTCAACCAATAGACAAACTTCGGAGGTTGATTTACTTGCATGTATACATACGTATTCAACTCCTCATTCTATCTGGTCCAGTGGCAATGTACATAGTACAGCCCAGAATAGTAACTAGAGAGCACCCGTGGTGTACGGCACACACAGTCACCTTGTAGAACTGCCACCCCGTTGGTAGTGATTGATTCCGGGGTTTGATTCCCCGCTGGTGCATAGGGTGGCTAGTACCGTGGTTTTTTTTTTAAAAGAATCCTGAAAGTGAGTGCACATCTCCGACCTCAAATTCCACACCGTCGGCTAATTGACAAACTCCGGAGGTTGATTTACTGTCATGTTTTTAACTCCTCCGAATTCTATCTGATCCAGCGGGAATGCACATATAGTACAGCCCAGAATGATACCTGGAGAGCACCAGTGGTGTATGGTACATGCAGTCAACTTCGTACAGCGTTCTTCCATTATGCGTTGTGATTGAGTCAGGGGTTTGATTCCCCACTGGTGCATTACTGAGCTCTGTCGGAGGTCGTTTTCATTATTATTATTATTTATTTTGATTCTGTGGTGCAGAATAGAGGCCGCAGCCATCTCCGGCCTCAAATTCCAAACCATCAACCAATTGGCAAACTCCGGAGGTTGATTTTCTGTCATGTTTTCATCTCCTCTGATATTGAAAAAACAAAGGAGTATTACCTTGAAGGTCACATAGGATGGTGTCGTTATCTGATCCAGGGGAATATACATAATACACCAGTGGTGTATGGTACACACAATCGTACACTTTCGTTTGCAAGAAGTAGTGATCGAGTCCGGGGTTCGATTCCCTGCTGGTGCATATATGATGTCTCTGTAATTTTTTTTCTCTTTCAAAAATAAATAAAAAATAAAAAAATAAAAAATTGCTGCCATCTCCGACCTTAAATCCTACACCATCAACCAATCAACAAACGCCGAAGGTTGATTTACATACTGTCATGTTTTCAACTCCTCCAAAATTTATCTGATCCAGTGGGAATGTACAGACTATAGCCCTAGCATGGTAGCTGGAGAGCACCAGTGGTGTATGGGACACGCAGTCAACTTCGTATGTTCGTTTAATGAATAGTGATTGAGTCCGGGGTTCGATTCCCCACTGGTGCATAGGGTGGCTAGTGCCGTGGTTTTTTTAAAAAGAACCCTGAAAGTGAGTGCACATCTCCGACCTCAAATTCCACACCGTCGGCTAATTGACAAACTCCGGAGGTTGATATATATATACTGCCATGTTTTCAACTCTTCATTAGTGGGAATGCACATACATGGCACAGCCCTAGAGTAGTAGCTGGAGAGCACCGGTGGTGTATGGTACACGCAGTCACCTTCTAACAACTCCTTTTATTAGCAGTGATTGAATCTGGGGTTCGATTCCCCGCTGGTGCATAAGATTCCTCCCTTGTTTTTTCAAAAAACCCTGAAAAAGTGCAGAACAGCTGCTGGCTGCCATCTCCAACCTCAATTTCCACACCACCAACCAATTGACAAACTCCAGAGGTTCAACTCCTGATCCAGCAAGAATAGTACAGCCACACGCAGTCACCTCAAAAACTGTCATGCCCTTAGTACTGCCGTCACTAGTAGTGATTGCGTCCGGGGTTCGGTTCCCTGCTGGTGCATGTCGACGGTGGCCGACTCCACAATATTTGAAACTTATAACCGTGTTATATCTAGCAACTTGGACACTTTCCAATTCTGTGGGGAAAAATTGCGAGTAGAATATCTGACCAAGGAGATGCATCTATTTAGTTACTATTCTTGTCATGCGGTAGATTAATTGAAGCTTTTTTTAGGTTCAAAAATAGGTGATTCAATCCTCGTTCGTGCCTTTTCGGCTGCCTATACGGCCAATGTCACCAGTCCTCAAGTCCGTAGCCATTTGCATGACTACCTCGGAGACGCGTCCTTTGCGCTAATCGAGCATCATATTTTAAGTATCACACCTAGTGCTGGGTCTGAAATGATTTTGGCCTCGTATAATACAGCCTTGCTCAGAAGCCTCGATGTCTCTCGTTTAATACATTAAATACACGCAGTTTGCCGACATCAAATTTCCTTATTAGGATAGGGGCCAGTCTCGGCTGCATCTTGTCCGGCATCCTCCATTGTCCACCTTGCACCAACCTTGCACTCACATCTTCAGGTCTTCCTCAGAAAAGTGTGGGAGGACTAATGAGAGGTCTTCTTGAACCAGAGCCACCTCAAAACACGACCTGTGAAGCGTCCAAACCGCCATAAGCGCTGTATTTAATACATGATAAATACATGGCCTTTGGGAGCCTTGAGGTAGGAAATGTATTATACGTGTATTAAACACGCTTGTATTATACCATCATTTTATACAGCCTTTCCGACCCGGCACTAATCACACCCTTGTGGATCTCGCAACGTCGAACGCGGGCCGCCCAACCCAGTTTTCTCAATGGACAACCAGACCAGCGTGCTTCTAGTAATGTGGGATTTCTGACTGCCAACAGCACTGGTACAACTGCTTCATTGAACAAATCGGACTGCCGCGTCGGCATCTTTATCCGCGGCGCCATCCCCGAGTAGTGAAGGAATTCGCCCATGCCTCGCCGCTCGGCGCCGCGGAATCGTCGTTCAACATCTGCCGCCGATGAAAATCATTTTTACCACCAGTGTCCAGCGGAGCATCTACCTGGATGCTTTCCCTGAGTTCATGCGGCCCCGCGGCAGACCCTGCCGGAGTTACGTGGGAGGCGTGCCGAGCGCCTGGTACAGTCTGCGGCCATCACTCGGCACAGCTCCGCGGTATCGCGACGTAGCTCGGCGGGGCCCTTATACCTGTCCCGCCGAGCCGTCTGAACGCAGTCTCTCCTCGGATTCCTCCGGTCTCTGCCTACATGGTCCCCTTTAATGTCGAATACTGTAACAGCCGAGGGCGGCCGGAAAAACGTTATCGACCGGGAAAATGACGCTCCACATGTTCCGCATGCCTCCACGGCGAAAGCAAGCATCTGTGGTCGCAGTCTTCATGTGAACAGCCATCGCAATCCAGTGTAGCTGCCACCGTGTTTACTTCCCCTTGCTGCTGCAATGGGTTTCGGGTTTATTATCGACTAGCGATGTGAACTCGGCGAAGTGCCATTATAGGCGGTTGTGCAAACGAGGAGGAGGCACCGCCGGGGTATAACGGATAGCCAAGCGCGGAATTCGTAATTTGTTTCATGGGAGCCAAACCCATACATACATCTCCGGCACATCGACTCGGACGGGTTTGTGGCGCAAAAGTCATACCGGATTTTGCGACGTACGTGTGCATCTGGCACGCCAGATTTCGTGGGAGCACGAAAGCCTGGGAGGACGAACGCCGTTGGCTATGTTACTCATAAAGCAGTTGGCAGAACTCCATTATACCTTCCTCTAGCCAGCAGAACTTTTCAATACATCTCTTGTCTACATTCGAAGTGTAAATTTGGGGTCAGAGGAGAAATCTTTACTCGAGGATATATTTATTTGAAAGATGTGTAGCATGCAATCTTGCGAGTGTATTTATGTAAACCGCGAATTCTAAACAGCTGAATCCTGAGGGTGCGCAACAAGTTTGACCCCACTCACGCCTCCCGCCTTCATCCTGTCCAACGCGGGAGGTATTCCAGAGAGCCCGTTGGGCACGACTTCGACCCGGTTGGCCTAGAAAAGTTGAGTGAGGCGCTAGATCAACACAAAAAACACGTACAACAATCGCGCCCTTTGCCAGCATCTCGGGAAGCTGCTTGATGATGACCTTACCAAAAATAGTGTGCTCCGGAACAGCAGGGTAAAGCGCGGGGTCGCCCACTGGCTTGAGGACGTCGGGGCCAGCGTATAATCCGAAGACATGGACGAGTGTCACACCCCTGGTCTCGCGATCGCTCTTCGCATCAGGACGCACGGTTACAATTTTTCCGCCGTCGACAACAGAGTCGTATGCAGCGTTGAGGTGTCCGCCCATCGGGGCGTCGTACACAACGTACACTGCCGGTTCCACGGCGAGGGATTCGATGGGGACGTCTGCCCGATCGATGAATTCCGTCGCACCCAACTGTGTGAGATAATCGAAGTGGACTTTCGACGCGTACGCGACGATGCGCGTGAATCCGAGGAACTTGAACAGCTGCACGGCTACGCTATTCATCAGCTTTTGTTTCAAGAGTCCAGGAGGCTCGGAAGACATACCGAATTGCCCAGTGGAAGTGCCTGCGCCTATGACAAGGGCCGATTCACCCTGCTGTGGTTTGTCCCAAGAAAAGGTAGGATTGAGGCCGAGGCCAATTGGCGCCGGTGCAAATAGGCCCACGCATGCCGTCGTAAATGTGACGGGGAACGTAGCTACCTCGTCAAAGCTCACATTGTTGGGTTTCTGTGCGCGCGATGGATGTTAGTGAGGAATATATGACAGTGGTTGAGATTCCCGTACATGAATAAGGATCGCAGCAGGAAGGGTGGTGTATTGCTGGAAGCCGCCCACGATGACCTGGGCAAATCTGCTCAACATCCATGAGTATAGTATAAAGTCAAAGCAACCGAGCCATCCGGGATGCTTACACCTCGTCCCCCTTCGCGAAGCCTTGTACGCCTTCACCCACCACCTCCACCACTCCGGCGATGTCGCCGCCTATAACAGCCGGATACGGGCCGACGAAAATGTCGTACTCGCGCTGCAACCAATTCGCCGGATTCAGACCAACGGACAAAATCTTGAACAAGACCTCGCCCGGGCCGGGCGAGGGGATGGCCCGCGGCCCAACAACAAACGCCGCTTTAGGGGATGGAATGATGAGGGCTTGTTGTTCTGAAGACATCGGGAGGTTGATATTGGTATGGTGAACGATGGGGCAGCATTTATACTTTGCAGACCTCAGCGACTGTCATGACTGCTTTGCCAACGGCCCGAAAAGCTTATGAACCTGACAAGCCACGTGAGCCCCTTCTCGCGCGAGTTCAATCCTGGCAAGTGCAGGCTTTTTATGCGGTTTATGCAAGGTGCACAGAGTCAGACTGACATGACGTGAAAATACATTACTTGAATAACATCAATGAAGCGAAAGAAAATACAAGTATTTGTGAAGGTTTACCGTTTTGTGCAGGGGGAGTCAGGTTTCAACCCTCAGTGACTCAGTCATGTACCGATCAGTAGTCGCGAATCAAAGTCAGAGGTCTTTTGAGAGGGAATAAAACAGAAATGGGGAATGATTAGGGTTCGAATTCAACGCCAGGCCGCCAAAAATGGAAATAATAAAAAACAAACACCTTGAACGAACATGGCTCGAGGTGCATAGTAGGAGGTAAGTTGTCCAGCTAAGCCATGATTCCAACATACAAAGCTCATTAACCCTGCAGAAAATTCGTTTAGCATTATTTATCGACGGATTGGCGACGCTGGGGAACTCTTCGATGCAGGCTTTGTGATTACTCATGATACGACATATCATTCAAAGCTAGGAGTTACAAGGGTTACCAGTTGTATTGCGTAGACTCGAGGATCTGGCCACAGAGAGCTTTATAATTATGCGTGGCAGACTGTGAGTCTAATATCCACCCAAGGAAGTCAGTACAGTAACCCCAGTTCAAGTTTATCTGTTGATCCTAGTTCTGAGAGGAGGCGCTGCCGGAGTATGACAGGTAGCCATTTAATTTATAATCTATTTCATGGGAGCCAGACGCGCACGTATCCTCCGGCGTCTCGACACTTTTTTTTGCTTTGACTCAAAACATCCCGAGGATACACTTTGGGCTTGCCAAGCTTTTCACCAGTGCGAACTGTCTTGCTTTGACTTGGCGGAAGGATTTTGCGATGCACCTGTGCGTCGCACACGCCAGATCTTCGTGGGAGAAGGAAAACCGGCGACTACGAAATTACTACTTGCAGAGGAGTAGGAAAACTGCGTTGAGCGCTCCAAGATATATTTATCAGGACTTTCTCCACATTGCAAGTGTAAATTTTGCGTCGGAGCAGAAATTTTTGGTCGAGACAATATTTGTTAGAGAGACATGTAACATACAATCGTAAATGACGTTGGGACTATATTTAATCCGCAAATTCTAAATAGCTGAATCCTGCGGGTGCGCAACAAGTTTAACCCCACTCACGCCTCCCGCCTTGATCCTGTCCAACGCGGGAGGTATTCCAGAGAGCCCATTGGGGAGGACTTCAACCCGGTTGGCCTAAAAACTCTGAGTGAACGGCCTACATAAAATATAAAAAGCCACGTACAACGATCGCGCCCTTTGCCAGCATCTCCGGCAGCTCCCTGATGATGAATTTCCCAAACTTCGTGTGCTCGGGGACCGCAGGGTAGTGCGTGGGGTCGCCGACTGGCTTGAGGACGTCGGGGCCAGCGTAGAATCCGAAGACATGGACCAGTGTCACGCCTTTGCTCTCG